AAATAGAAGGGGAAGATATGGAGGCAGTGACAGATTTTACTTTCCTGGGCTCCATGATCACTACAGATGGTGAGAGCAGCCATGAAATGAAAAGATGCCTGCTTCTTGGGAGGAAAGCAATGACAAACCTAAACAGCATCTTAAAAAGCAGAAACATCACCTTGCCGACAAAGGTTGGCATCGTCAAAGTTATGGTTTTTCCAGTAGTGATGTATGGAAGTGAGAGCTGGACCCTAAAGAAGGCTGACCACCGAAAAATTGATGCTTTTGAATTGTGGTGCTAGAGGGAGACTCTTGAGAGTCCCCTGGACTGCAAGGAGATCAAAATTATCCGTTCTGAAGAAAATCAACCCTGGGTGCTCACTGGAAGGACAGATCCTGAAGCTGAGGCTCCAATACTCTGGCCATGTCATGAGAAGAGAAGACTCATTGGAAAAGACCTTGATGCTGGGAAAATGTGAAGGCAGGAAGAGAAGGGGACACCAGAGGACGAGATGGTTGGACAGTGTCATTGAAGCTACCAACATGAATTTGACCCAACTCCGGGAGGCAGTGGAAGACAGGAGGGCCTGGTATGCTCTGGTCCATGGAGTCACAAAGAGTTGGACATGACTTAGCGACTAAACAACAACAAGGATGCAAAACAGTGGGCCGTTGTTTTGGCCTTAAATACTGTTTAAGAACCCATAGTGTTTTGTAGAAGAGAATAGTAGGGACATGGTGATGCTGCTGAACATAAGGAAACAGCACCCATCCCCCACTCATCTCCTTATCCACAGATGCTGATATTGCACTGTTTTTTAGTCTCCTTACATTGCATGGATTGCATTTCTTCCACTAAGTATCTTGTGACTTGCTGTACCAGGTTGTTAGAGGATACATGGAGTTGTCTGCATGTGCTGTGTGGATCCTGAGCAGAAGATTGACATGTCAGCTGTTTTCAAAATGTGAAATGCTATTTTCAACATGTGGAATTTTCTTTTATTGCTTTTTCATAGTTTTGGCAAATGTAACAGGCTATCCTTACAGTAACTAATATTTTGCAACACAAATAAGGTTGTGAACTTCCTTTGCAATTGAAACTAATGGCTGTAAGTTATAGATCAACTTGTGAGATAGATTAGCAAATTAGGTGTGTGCATGGCCATACATACAGCATATCCTTTGGCTCAGGAGAACAAAAGATTGAAATGTGTATGTGAGGTTCTAATCTAGTACTAGCTGTAAACTGGGGAGAAAGTAAGAACAAATAGTTTGCAACTTTTTGCATGAAAGGGAAACGGGTCTACAGCAAGATGCACATTTTTTTCTTTTCTTTTCAAGGGATGGTTAGATGGTTGAATCGGGTTGATTGGTGAAAATGTTTCAGACAGTTAAATGTGTGCTGGAATTATTTAGAATGGGATTGTTTAGGGGAAGATGGATGGGAATGCAGTACCTTGTGGAGACTATAAAATGCCTGGAATGATATTGATGGAGGACATATGGTCCTCTTGGAGTGTTGAGGTTTTTGGATGTATTGGTGACAACGCTCTTGACTAATCTGGTGGCAGATACATTTACCGGGGAAGCAGACATGAATTTGATGGTTTTCTTCACTGAAAGGAGAAGTAGATATGGATGACTGGAGAAATAGACCAAGTGAAAGTATGTTTGAAGCACTCAAGAATAACTAGGAAGATGAAATTTCTTGGTTTGGAAGGGTTTTCTTTCCAGGATTATTGGTAGATGGAAATTTTAAAGTGTAGAACTATCTGAACTCCTGTTATTTCATGTTTTGAAGTTTTACCAAGAATGTTTTCACATACAGTACTGTACTTACAAAAGGCAACTTGGTGTTTGCTTTTTGGTGGTTACTCTGTTCT